AAACCCAAACCCATCCCAAACCCATCCCAAATCCATCCCATCTCAAATCCATCCCATCTCTTCAATCCCAAACCCAAATCCATCCCAAATCCATCCCATCCCATCCCATCCCATCCCATCCCATCCATCCCATCCCATCCCATCCCATCCCATCCCATCCCATCCCATCCCAATCCCCCTTTTGCTCCTCCATCACCTCTGAGACGAGCCTGGCTCCCAACACGCCAGGCCAGAATTTGGGGTTTTTTTTCAGGAAAATTTGTTTTTTTCAGGAAATTTTTAGGGGTTTTTTTCAGGAAAATGTGGGTTTTCAGGCAATTTTGGGGATTTTCCCGGGAAATGTTGGGGATTTCAGGCAAACGTGGGGTTCCCACTCGGGCCAGGCCGGGATCTGGGGTGGCTCCGGCCGGGCTCTCGTTCAATCCTTTCCTGGATCCGAAAGGAAGCCGCTCGTCCTCGCCGGGATTGCGCCCCAGACCAAATATCCAATGGATATTCCAAATATCCGTTCGTTCCTGGGCCGCCCTCTGCCTCCCTGCAGGGCGTTTATTGATCTCATTGGGCCTTTTCTTTCATTTCTTCTTTTCTTTAGTTTTTATTTTATTTCTTCTTTTGTATATTTTTTATTTTTATTTGATATTTTATTTTATTTTATTTTATTTTATTTTATTTTACTTTTTATTTTATTTTATTTTATTTTATTTTACTTTATATTTTTAATTTTTTTTTTATTATTTCATATTTTATTTTATATTTACATTTTCTTTTCTTTTCTTTTGGTTTGGTTTGTTTTACTTTGTTTTATTTTATTTTATTGTATTATATTGCATTGTATTGTATTGTATTGTATTGTATTATATTTTATTTTCATCTTCCCACCTTTTCCTCCTTCCCTCGCATAAGAGAGGTGACATTTGGGATCCCAGAGATTTGGGATTTCAGAGGATTTTGGATCCTGTGGGATTTGGGATCTCAGAGATTTGGGATCTCAGAGGATTTGGGATCCCAGAGGATTTGGGATCTCAGAGGATTTGGGATCCCAGAGGATTTGGGATCCGGGGGATTTGGGATCCTGGGGGATTTGGGATNGGATTTGGGATCCCAG